TCACACTAAAAGCGCAGAAAGGCAGGCAAAACAGTGACTGTGTTAGAGGTATATTTTGCTTGGCTTTGACTGCTTTCAAGATTACTGAAAACAGATTTTTGGACTGAAATTCTGGAAAATGGAAGACATACATTGACTGATTAACAACAGTTCCAGTCTTTGCTAACATGTAAGAACAGGCATAGGTGAGGACTGCTTCCCACAGTGGGCTGCCTGGGACAATGACAAGCTTTACTGGCTCAGTGAAACTCTCTGGATTCGATAGCTCCCTGCCTTCGAGGCATTCTTCTCTCAAAAAGATACTTCAAAATCATTCTCAAGAAAGAGATGCACACAACTTACAAAGGACATTTGGGGGGAAAAAAACCTGATTTCATCAACTGCAAGTAGATTTAAAATCCAGTTTTATATCCAAGTGCTCTCTGTGGAGAATGGCTTCAATTCTAGCCTGGGAACTACATGATCAGACACTCAGCATTCATACTTCTAAAACATCAATTTCTGCTGAGGTCCTATCAAACCCCTACAGCCCCCAGGATTTTTAAAAAGGCTTGAATTACGCTCAAAGTAAAGTCAATCCAAGGAGCTCTTCAAAGATTATAAAGCCACTCTCTGTTCACCTTTATAAAAATCATTTGCAGTTTTTAAGACTTTAAGGCTAACTAAAAGGTTTTTAAGGCTTTTGTTAATGAGTTAAGGTATTCTACCTCTGTTTTAAAGTTGCATTTCTGTTTCCCTTTACAGAAACTATAGCGGGCCATTACATCACTGTAATCCCACCATCTGAAATCAATTACCCCCTTACCCCCCTTCTCTGTTTTGGAGCAGGCAAAAGCAGAGAAACAGCTTCTACAGATTTTCAGTGGTCTTCAGGTAATGCCCCTGCTGGATACCTTTAATAGACAGTTATTTCTGCCTACGGGAGAATAAGAACACTCCCTTTCCAATTACATAAGTCAATTAGGCTCAGTGATGAGGGGTCTCAAAAGAATAGCCTGCAAGCTTGTTCACAGCAAAACAGAAGGGCATTACCCACTCACATCAATTCCCATGACATTTGGTTGGAGGGGAGGAAAAAATAAGACTACCACCTACTCACACTTGTCAATATATAACAGAAGCTGCGAGGAGGTATATTATGCAGCTGAAAACTAGCAGTGGCACTGACTGTGCTGTTAAGTTAAGGCTGTATTCAGCATTTCTATCCTATCATGCAGTAAATTCCACATTCACAGATTTACGTGATGGCTATAACAATTCATGCTAGGTAGAGCAGTAATTCCTTGTCAAAGAGATCAGCCACGGCAGGAAAACATTTTGGGGGCCTTAAAATCAAAACCAAAACCAAAACCAACTTGAATGCATGTATACATCACCTGAATTGATTAAACTGCATCAAAAAGGCACAACATTTTCATGTTCAAGAGTTTGGACTGAGATGAAATATAGCGTTCTGCCATCACTGTCATGATTGAATAGTTCCTTTTACTTTAAAAACCAGAATTTTCTGTGAATGTGCATGAAGTCTACTACTTGTACCTTTATATCTATTTCTAGCTATATTTATAGAAGATTAGCTAATTAAATTGGCAGCAGCGATGATGATAGCAACTGCGTGTTACCGTTTTTAAATAAAGCCAGGCTGAAAAACTGTATCAAGATTCTTTGCCTCACAACCTTAGTTTTTACAAGAATAAACTGAAAAAAGTTAAGTTAAAATTAACAAGGGATCTTATTAAGATCTGCAGGATAAAAATGAGACCTACCAGCTTCTCCTTGATGAAGCAATGTGAGTGTTTCCTGTTCTGCAGAAGCAGGTGACACCTCACAATTTTTTTCCTACTTGCTAACAATGGGACAATCCAGCAGAATATGTAATGGAGCAGTGCAGTGTGCGCCCTCCTGGCCCCTGACCCAGTATTTTGGTTGTGTGTTAGCAGTCACATAGCTCACAGTTGCCAAACTCACCTTGTGCCCCAGGCTAGATCTGGCTGTGGGGCTCTTTGCAGGCCAGATCCAGAGCAGGGCATGAGGAAGCTGCCATTGTGCCAGCAGCTCTGGCTCTGGACTGGGACATGTGGTGGCAGCAAGGACACATAGTGGCAGGACCTCTAGAACACGTGGCAGGGGCTCCAAACCCTCCCATGTGCCCCATGCCAAAACTACTGCTGCCTCCTGTCCCATGTTAAAGCTGAAGCCGCTGCCATTGTGACAGCTCCAGCTCTGGCTCCGGCACTGGGCATGTGGTGGGACCAGCAGCTGGGGAGGTAGGGCCACAGCAGTGGCAATCACCTGGATGGCAACCAGGGCTGAGTCAGTCCACCTCACTCTCCTGTTGCCAACCACAATTGAATGGCAGGCCACTCTGCCCTGCCAGGCCACAAGTCCAGCTCCATGGGCTGTATGCTGGACACCCCTGGTTCAGCTGAAAACTTTGGCTCCTACTTAGGAAGAAGTCTCCGTGAAGGCTGGGCATGGAGAACTTTTTCCAGAATCAAAAAACAAACAAACAAACAAACAAACAAACATGTTGAGGAGGTTCAACTTTAGACCTCTCAATCTTGACAAAGATCCCTTGATGTTTCTGGCCTAAACAAAATTTGGGTGCAAACCTTATGGTTACTTTTATTGAATTTTTCTATGTGCAACTGGGTAACAGTTTGAAAATGCAACCAATACAGTGTACAGCTGCAGTGTTTTCAGTGAGAGGAAAAGATCATTTTTAGTATCTATTTCATTTTTCTGACTTCTGTGATAGTCTTGCTGAGATATGTAGCAGGTGAAGACAATGCTCAGTCATCATCAGCTCCATTATCAAGGGAGCTCTCAAATGGCTTTCTTCCAGAGCACTGATAATAATTAAGGCTACACTCTGATGTTAACTAAAATCTAATTTTGCAGATTTCAGGCAGGACAAGGCAGGATTTTTTACTTTTCCCCACCTACAACTCCCGGCACTTGGAACTCCCGTCGTAGGCCATAGCAAGTACGATGATGGCAAAGGGTAGATGGTGCTTTCACATGTGCTCTGCTATGTAAATAACAGTTTAAACTAGGCAAGGAAGCTGAGGGGACTGCTCTGCAAAACTTCCCGTACCTTTTCCATTTCAACTCAGGCATCTGGAGACTGTAAGTCAAACCTTGTTGAACATGGTCCTCTGGAGATCAAAGCCTGACACTGATTGTTGTGAGGCATGATTAGAAATGGTCTCCTGCCCAGTTCCCTCCTCAGATTTGTCCCAGTATATGGGTGATCATTGCCACATGGTTTAAAATACAAGGTCACACTCTGCCTGTGGCAGGCTGGGCTCTAAATCCACTAGGTCCTCTTGAGGAGGTAAGATATGGTGTAGGTATAGAGGACCTGACTCTTACCAGTGAGCCCAGGGGAAGAGGTGGCCACCAGCCATGGCACCTATAAATGTCAAAATCCAATGACACGATAGCACACGAGTGGGCAAAATGTGGCCCACGGGCCAGATGTGGCCCACCAGGCCATTCTATCTGGTCCACGGGGCCCCTAAAAAGTTCAGAAAATTAATATTTATCTGCCCCTGGCTGCCTGTTATGCGGCCCTCGATGGCTTGCCAAAACTCAGTAAGCCGCCATCCGCCTGAAATAATTGCCCACCCCTGCTATAGCACCTGAACCATTACACTATTCTGGCAAGTTGGGGCTGGCACAGCAGAGTGAGCAGATACAAAGCACACAGATGTTTAGTAGTCTGCATCCTCTGGCGAATAATAGCTAAGAGCCTAAATAAGGATACTTTGTTTTTTAAAACCCAAGGTAGAAGACAGCAGTGCCCTGAATGGATTTCAGCAGCTTCAATGGAGCACTTATTTCAACTTGTTTTTTATGTTTTTAAGAACACAGCTGTGTACATGTTTTAGAGATGCGTAAGGGGATGGAAGGGTGAGCAGCATAATCAACAATTTACCACCGTTTTCTTCCCAGAAGCTCTTTTTCTGGCTAATCCATCTTTCCAGCTGGAAAGAGCATAACCCAGTCCTCCTGCACTACATCAATGCTGCTCTTCAAACAGCAGGATGGAAAGCAATGATACAAAAAGAAAAGTGGACCTGATTCTCAGTCAAGTCACTCTAGCAACTTAAAGGGGCCTTAAATTGGGAAATGACACACTTTCAAGAACCCCACTTCCTTAGAGGCTCTTTCTGGCACTACAGAGTTGGCATGAGGCTCTATGAGGTTGCTGCCTAACATGGGGGTGGATCAGAAGCGTGGCTCAAGTGCACTGCCATGCAAATATTCTCTGCTTCCTAGAAAGACTATGGAAAACTGCGTCAGACCAGTCTAAAAGTGCCCCATACTTTCATCAAAGGCCAGGCAGCCCTTACACCATTCTAAAATATACAACTTTATATTTCCCCTATACCTCTTCTTAGTCCTGGTAGAAAAACAGAGTAATTGCAATCACCCCACCTCTCCAGCTAGGGACTGTACAGTTCCACACAGCTCAACATACCATTTTCTTTGACATTAATAGGCCTGTCCAGATAGGGATCCTCCGCTGGTCAGTTTTGTGCTGGGTATGAAACTGTGTCATGGCATTTCATTTTTACTCGGAAGCCAGGGAGAGGAGATGGGAAAGACCAACGTGTTTAATCTAAATCAAAGCATTGCCATGCTCTGATCTAGAGCCATTGGGGTATTCTGCATTTTCAGATAAAAGCAGAAGGAATTTCACCTGGATGATTCCAATGTCCGAAACTGTAGTGGTTGCTGCTGGTCCATTGTTGCCCAGAGGCAAGGGCCCCTGAATAATGAATTGCTGTTAATAACTGCACACTCACCATATTTTGATGGTAATGCTGGAGGTGAATTGCTACAAGCTGTTTATCCAGTATACTGAATATGTATTCATTAGCATAAGGGTGGATTTATCTGCTAATTGTAGCTTCAGTATGGGCATTCTCCCTAGCAACATCTTACAACTATATACTTCACCTAGAAGGTTTTCCTATTGTGTAGCTAACGAACATGTTTTGCATTAAATAGCTAAATAACTTGTTTATTCATGGAACAGTTTAGTAGGCTCAACTGAACCAATCTACTCATGCCTACAATCAGCTACATTCTTCCAGTTCTGCAGAAACTCAGGTTTATATATCTTTTGAATTCCTCTAAACTGGCATCTCTACTAGCTCTTATCACTGACAGCATTATAACAGAGTTTGGTCTACCCATTTGGATACTGAGCCTTAGCATGACGATTATAGGGGACTGAACTAAAGCTGGCACTGAACCAGCACAGTCCAACTTAGTGTGAATGGCACCTCCCCAACAGACAGAGCGCTCAAGGGGAAGGGTGTGAAAGGCTCCCATTCACCTGAATGAAATGTTGGCTCTGAAACCTAATGCATGTCATCATTTTCAGCACTGAGCAGTTTAGCGGGATTCTGCAGCTATCATACTTTTACTGTCTGGTTGATGCCACAGAAGCAAGGAAGGGACAAGTTCTATTAGACCAACAGCATCTAAGCCATGGCTTGAATGCGTTTCTGCCAGAGCAGGGGGATGGAGGATGGCAGAGAGCTTTTGTGTAGGCCAGATAGGCTGAACAGAACAGGAGGTTTCAGCAACACTAGTTGAAACTCAGGAAGACTCATTCTGTTGCTAGTTCTGTAAAACTTATCAAGCAGGCACACTATATGAAGCCACTGCCTCTGCTGACAACGTCTTTTCAGATACTTTCAATATTAAAAACTTCAGAAGGGTGTGGTGACCTCTGTTTGCAGCTGCAAGCTTTTTTTAATTACAGCTTGGGGGGAGAGGGTTGGGGGGAGCTGAGCAAAGTTACCACTCATTCAGACTTGTCTCTAAATATACAAGAAATGTGTAAAATAAATCACAGCTGAAGAGTCAAAGAAGAAACTGTAAGATCAATGGTTCAGAAACTTTACAAGGGAGAAGAAAAAAAAGTTTGTGTTTGCAGAGGGCTTCTTTGGGATCAACACAAAGCAAACATTCAGATTCATCTTATTTCTTATAGTGCTCCCAGGCTAGTTCCATGAAGCTTGTTGAATTTCTATAATTGTTTGCCAAATGAGAGAGATTGAGAATTCTGAAGGCGGTCTCCTACATGCATACCCCCCTCCTTGGAAGCATTTATACCTTTGGAAAGAGACCTTTCCTATTATGAATCTGAGCAATATACATTCATTATTGTGCACACTATCACAAAGATATAGTCCAGACATTAACAACCTTCAGAAAAGCACTGGTGGTCTTTCCTTTGATAGCCTCCACTTTGTAAAACCTCAAAACTTATTTTTAAGAGTTTTGGAAACAAAAAAATACTGTGTATTCCTGTAACTTTAAAAAGAGCTGCATTTAACACCTGTTTAAAAAAAACACAAGCCTGAAGTATTTTTTTTTCCAAGTACAAGAAAATCTCATGCATCTAAACAGAATGGGCAGCAAAACAAACTTGGAAAGATGAAAGTTCAGAGAAGTCAGGGGATTTTTCCATTCATTTCATACACCACAAACAGTTAACTGAGGGTCCTACAAACAAGACTACAAAGTATATTCTCTTCAATTATTGGATTTGGTTGTGGTCAGCTTTAAATATTTTCTTCATCCCTAAAAATGAGTGTGTGTGTGTGAATATATATGCGCACGCACACACACACACGCGCACACACACATACACACTGCTGTTACATTTATGGGAAAAGGATCAGAACGGATAACTATTCAGGTAAGGGGGAAGTTTTGTCTTCCATTCATGCTACTGTAAGTGTTTGTATATCAGTACTGTGGAGGAAAAACATTTAAGCAGATCAGTCTTGGACCTGGAGTTGGCCGCCCCTTCTGAGCATCTGGGTCGGTTCCTTATTGATGCACTGAATACGTTTCAAATACCTCCATTATAAATAGAATTTTCACTGCAATCTAAATTACGTGATACTGACTCACATAACCAATAAAAAAAGAAAAAGGGGCAAGCTGGTGACTCAAACCAATATGCACGCTCCCTTGCTTTCCTTAAGTGTGGTTAATCTGACAGTGGGAAATGGCTGCTTGATAAATTCAAGACAGTTAAAAACACACTGAAATTGGAACTTGCTAAATGAAGAGTACACCGTGATGGAAAACTGTTTATCCCCTTGCAGAAGAGCTCTCTATAGCTCTTTGTGATTCAATATCGCTCGTGGGTTGAATGATAGCATGAGCCTTACCTTTGCAGTGTCTGTGTAGCACGTCTAATGCAGCAATAAGGAACTCATGTGCATCCTGTTGCTCGTACCCTGCTAAATGCCGTGCATGCGTCCATACCAGGTGCAATAACCTATATGGAATGTGAGGAGATCGGTGCCCAGAGTAAAACTGCTCAAAGCAAAGAAAAGGTCGTGATTATTAACATGTTACAAACTCTCTGTGCATTTAACTGTCAAACATAGTTAATGACTGGAATCAGGCAACTAAAGTTGAATGAAACGGTTTAGTAGTTTTGACAGACCTTGGCGGAAATGCTTTGTTTAAAAAACATGTCATGCAAAGTAGCTTCAGAACCGAGTACATAGGATGCACTTCAGGTATTTACACGTCTATCATTTTCTATTCTGAAGTTTCCTCTTTCTGTGATGGGTTAGCTTCAATGATGAACAGTGTCCCACCCAGAAGGGCTGCACTCCAGAAGCTCTAATGCTTATTTGCTACAGGTCAAAGAAACAGTTGGTACGCACGGGTTCAACAAGCATATTATGTAGTCACGAAGAATTAGGGGAAAAAAAAATCTTTGACATGCTATTAATACCCTCCTCAAAAATGTAAAACCAAGATGTAATAATTTTTGGTGTCTCATGTCTGCTATGCTCAGGTTTGTCAGTCTCCACAAGAAAATTTACCAGCAGATCTATACCACAGCAGTATATGAAGAAGAGACCCCACACAAGGGAGTTATAACAGCAGAACCAGGGTACTATAGTTTGAGATGTAATGTTGCTGTTCTATTTCCCCATGCACACGAATGCTAAGTATTGAGTAAAGAGTTACTTCAGTTAGTAAGTTCTGAATTGAATTTTTATATTTAAAAAAGCAAACATTTTATTTCCAACAAGTGAAAAACCTATCATTCTGCCTTCCATGCCCTTTAAAGAAATGTTGTTCTCCATAAGGGTACTCCAAGCAAAGCCATTTAACTGACTGTCAAAACCTTTTAAGCTACGTTACTGGTGATGTCTCAGTATATGATCTTCCCACAAAGCTCATGAGCCACGTAAAGCACAATGAGCAGCTGCAGATTTTTATTTTTTTTTTAAATACAACAACAAAGTTTGTTGCCTCATCATTGTGGGAAGAAAGAATGATTTTATTTCAAAGTTTCTCCTCCCTCCTTTTCTTTCGGTTTCTTTTTAAATTCCTGTACAAGTGCAAACACTGATGCAAAGCTGGCTAGACAATCTGAAGGTGGGGAGTGGGGGGCGGGTGCAGATTGTGTGGGTGAAAGGTAGCAAACAAGCTATCCTTAACTACTCATTTCTGCATGGCATTCTGCAGGCTTCTGACAAATTTCTTTGCAAAGGAAGTTCTTTCCTTGTGCAAACCTCAATTTTATCATCAACAAGAAATGATACCGCTGCAGCCAAACAATGCAAAAAAGCCTTCTATAAATAAATGGATCAATAGGTAGCTCTGATGCCAACAGGAATGACACTGAGGGACTGGAGCGCTGGCGTGGTAATTGAAATCTGCTGATGCAGCTGCTGTTCAACATAATTCAGGAAACTGCAGCAATAAAACTTCCCTGTTCTGTCACTCCTTGCAATTAGTCCCAGAGCTCTCTGGTCATTTTAACCAACAGCACTCCCAATAATTACTCCACTGCAGACACCAGACCTGCCAGCAGGTTTTACATTCTTCAGTGCTCCATCAGGATGAAAGGAATCTAAAAGCGGCTCTTGTCAAATTATTGGTTATTACCATATGGAAACTGGAAACACACCCAATCAGAGTGCTGTAAATGTATAGTGCAAAAAGCTTCAGCCACATGTGTTGCAAGTAAAATACATAGGTACTATTAGTAGATATTTTCTACTGACAATGCACCAATATAAGGGCAGTCCTAGAGGTACGTTCCCTGAACCACACTGAACAAATGCCAATTTAGATCCTTGGAAGATCAGACAAATTCTGTCTTCTGTTGTGGTAAGTCTTCTCATTTTTCTAATTTTATAGAGCTCTTTCCAAAAAAATGTTAATAGATGTGACAAAAAGTGTCCCACTATCAGTGGACTCATTCATCAGACAAAGCCCACTGTCAAACCATGTGAATGGGTTTACAAATCGTTGTGTTTCTAAACCTAACTTTGGTTGAATGTCTTTTGTGAGCTTGTATCTAAAGTTTAAAAATTTAGTCTTGCTAGGGAAAAATACAAATATGTATTGAGATGTCAAAGGGGTGGTGTTATTGCATATTTAATACATTATATACTTGAACCCAAGACAAGGTGTGGTCCACACCCCCCCCCCCCCAATCAACATGGGGAAGAAAAGCCTTGTCTGAGATTTTAAGTACCCACCCAGGGCAGGTGGCACCTCTGCTCCAGCTCCAGCTGACTGTCTTGGAGCCAGAGCTGCCCAGAAAGTAAGAGAAGCTGGAGGTGAGGGGGTAGGTACCAGGTGTGGGGGGGACAGACGGCAGAAGGGCATGCACAGGAACGGGGGAGGGGGAGGGACTGGGGAGATAGGCATGGAGTGGGGGTGGCAAGCACCAGGGGCAGGCAACAAGTGGCAGGGAGGGCAGGCACCAGTGGGGAGCAAGTAGCAGGGGGAACAGGTGGCAGGCACAGGCACAAGCTTCCAGGCACGGGCACAGCAGGGGGCAAGTGATGGAGCAGGCAGGGG